AACAAAGGATTAATCTCAAAAATATACAAGCAACTCCTGCAGCTCAATTCCAGAAAAATAAATGACCCAATCAAAAAATGGGCCAAAGAACTAAACAGACATTTCTCCAAAGAAGACATACAGATGGCTAACAAATACATGAAAAGATGCTCAACATCACTCATTATCAGAGAAATGCAAATCAAAACCTCAATGAGGTACCATTACAGGCCAGTCAAACTTTTTTGTTTTAAACATTTTATTTTGTATTAGGGTATAGCTGATTAACAATGTGATACTTTCGGCTCAACAGTGAAGGCATTCAGCCATACATATATATGTATGTATCCATTCTCCCCTAAACTCTCCTCTTATCTAAGCTGCTGCTTAACATTGAGCAGAATTCCATGTACTATACAGTAGGTCCTTGTTGGCTATCCATCTTAAACATAGTACTGTGTACATATCTATCCCAAACTCCCTAACTATCCCTTCCTTTAGCAACCATAAGTTCGTTCTCTAAATCTGTGAGCCTATGCTTTGTAAGTAAATTTATTTGTAATTCTTTTTAGACTCCATATATAAGGTATGACACAGTATATTTCTCTTTCTTTGTTTGATTTACTTCACTCAGTATAACAATCTCTAGGTTCATCCATGTTGCTGCAAGTGGCATTATTTCATTCTTTTTAATGGTTGAATAATATTCCATTGTGTATATGTACCAGATCTTCTTCTTCTTCTTTTTTTAAATACAACTGTTTTCACACAGCTTATCCAGAAGTTTAAAAGTTAAAATGTGGGCATTCACCCCCACCCACTCAAAAAAAATATCCCATGCCACTTTCCAACATATAGACTATCACACTCTTATTCTCATTACCCACGATTACCACACACTCTTGCCAAACACATGGGGGTCAAGACCCCAACTATTTAGTAATCCAAAGAAACTACATAGTTACACAAAAGACTCGCTTCCTTGTCACCAGCAAGCATGACTGAAAGAATAAGGGGCAAACACATTATCTTCATCCTGAGTTAACATTTCCCTAAAATTCTTTTTCCTTCCTCTAAGTCATTAAAATCCAAAGCAGTTTCACTTACTACTATAACTTTGATGTTCCTTTTTTTTTTTTTTTTTTTCCTGAATGGCTAAGCTAGGACATACTTTCCTTTCATAGATGATGTTTACAACCTCATGACTGGCAGGAAGCAGTCTCCCAGTTGTGACTTGACCATAACACTTTGCAATAGGCAAAGTTACCACATAGGTGCAATTGACGCTTTAAGAGTCTTCAAAATTTTTTAAAGCAATAATGCATTAATATGGAGCCTCCACATCTTTCTGATGCAGCAAAAGTTCTCTAAAGGTGGTGGCAGCTGTGAAAGAAAAGGCACTTCATGCTAAAATTCAGAGGGTCTCTCTTCAGAGACCACCCCAGAAGACAGGCCTGGTCAGCCCAGGCCTGCAGGTGACCCTTTAGGGTGGAGAGGACTATCCCCCAGGAAGGCATCTGCAGAGGATAAATTTGTAATCGTGATTCCAAGGCAAAATGGTTTAAGTTGGGAGAGGAGAAACACTAAGAATACAAATACTGTTGCACCAGAGATTGAGGAGTGAAGTATACAAGGATCTGTAGGTGGCCCTGCACTTTGTACCAGGCTGGTTCTCTCACCACTTGTAAGGAGGTCCTGGAGACGGAATAGGAGCAGCACTTTAGCCAAGTGGGTTCTAGGCCTCTGGCTTCTGCCCGGCTTCCCCTGCTGTGTTCCTAGGAATGAGCCGAGGTCTTGTTGGCAGCACTTGTGGGTATTGCTGGTCTATGGCAATATCCAAAGGGATTTTCTGATACAGATGTGAAGAGAAAATAAGGATTTTCCACATGATCTGAGACTCCTTGGTGATGTTCAGCAGCCTCTGGGCCTTCTAAGAGCAACAGTGGATCAAGCTGGCATCCTCCATCAACACTCAGAAAAGTAGCATGAGTATTTTAGATGG